CTCTACTTTTTTTGAGGCAATTTTAATGCTCTGCTGGGAGGGAACCACCACCACCTCCCGCTTCTGGGCCGCGGCCCATGTAGGTCCGCGTGAGCGCTGCCCGGCCCAAGTAGGGGCGCACAGCCCGGCCCAATCCCTCCATAAGCGGGGGCCTCTCGTACGAGACAAGGCCCGCCGCAAGAAAAAGAAGGGGGAGACCGACGCGAGGAGGAAAAGAGAAGAAATCTCAATTGATCGCCTCCGCCGCCGCTACACATCCACGCCGTCGAGAACCACTTCGGCACCGCCGCGGTCGGCAGCGAAGACTTTCGGCGGCCTCTTCTCCGCCGACACCGACGACCAGCTCGCCCTCGAATTCCCAACCTCTCCGCCCTAAAGAACCACTTTGGCGCCGCCGCGGCCGGCAGCGACGACTTCGGCGGCCTCTTCTCCGCCGACCAGCTCGCCCTAGAGAACAACGTGCGTGAGCCTTCCCCTCCCTCAATCCCCTTTTCTCTCCGCCGGCCTCTGATCCGTTTGCGCCCCTTTTTCGTTTCCCGGTGGCAGTTCGATGGGTTCCAGAAGGCGACCAAGGAGATGGCGAACAACAAGAAGGGGACGACCACGCTCTCCTTCATCTCCGACAAGGCGTCATCGTCGCCGCCGACTCCCGGGCCAGCATGGGCGGGTACACATGTGAGTCCCCTGTCCCTTGGCCTCGCATTCCAGTGCTAGGGTTTGGTGCTGCGGGGATTCGATCTGCTGGCGTGGATGCGTGATTTAGGGTCGGGATGTTTATAGATCTCCTAGCGAAATCTGGTTCTTTTGTCCGTTGATTATCTCTGGGAGGACAATTTGGTGGTCAGGGGTGTGTTTCTTTACTCTTGCGTACCAGGGCATGTACATTTTCATATCTAGTAATTCAGGGCAGTGATTCATACTTCTATGAAATCTCAAACCAACTTGATTTGGGTGTGAAGAACTTGTGCTTAGGTTCTAGTGTACAACAGAGAAAACATATCACAACCTCACAATAGCTGAGCCACCAATTGCAGTGCCTCTCACACCAGTTGTGGCAACCGTGCTTGGATGTGGCGGTTCATTTGGATTACGTGGTGAATACAAAGATACTGATTGTGTTTGGATGCTAATTATCTGTAGGAACTGAGAAGGGAGGTAATCTGTAGTGGGATTGGTACTGATAGAGAGTTATGAATTGATGTGATACTGATATCACACACACAAAAAAGATAGTTTTGCTAATACTTACTATTGAATTCAAGTCTGCTTATCTGAAGGTCCAACATTTATGCATACTGATTTGTGTCTGTGTGGTTCGGAGAATCCAATAGAAAGCTGCCGGTATTGTATAATGTCTATTTTTACACAAGTGCTGATCCTTCTGTAAAATTGCCCTTGCATGTTTGTTAGTCGTTGTAGAAGGCTCTTGCTTGATGCAAAGGATCATCACTTAAACATTCATCAGAATGTATTTCTGTCCTTACATGATTCTGTGTTTTCTGTTCTGCAGCTTTAATCCATGCGGAACCATGGCTTGTGGGGCTGCTGATTGCCAATTTTGGCATAGAAACTTGGGTTAAGGTAAAATATCACCTGCTTGTCTACTTGGCATCTCATATTTTGCATAGTACTAGTTGAGTGCCGTGTGTTGCAACGGGATATTGTATTTATCTTCTTCAGCGTCTACTATGTTATCCACCTGTCTATTCATGTCCCATAGGAATACAAGCTTCATTCTTCCTCCTTTTTTTACTCTTGCATGTCCATGAATTTTATCACAGCTCCATCTTTTGTGTGTTTCCACTTTGCTCACCACTGTTCATGGGTGTTGTCACTTGATACGGAACAAGAAATTTATGTATGTAGAAAATAAGTTCTCAGGATTGTAACTATACAAAACACCATTTTCCTTCTCCATTATCTGCCTCTGCCATCACTCACTTTGTTGCACAATTTTAACTGTAACCATAAACTTCTTGTAGTGAAAGTTTATTGAATATCATAATTACCAAGTTGCAACTACCACAAAATGATTTTAACTACTAATATAAGACCTTTTGTCAATTATATTTCAACCTACACTATTTAAGTATTATTTCTCTGTGCTCTTACTAAGTCTACAAAAACAAAATACACAAATAGCAAATCTAAGTATGCTCTAGATATTCATCATGTGAGACAATAGGTGAAAAAGACCAGCAAAGTAAAGTATCATTCCGGAAAGAAAAGATATCAACATCAGATTTGAATCTTTCACATTTTATCACAAAGACAGCTAAAAACTCACTTCCAATCGATGTGGCACAAACAAAAGGGACCAAGCAGGACTGAGTGCAAGTCTTGTCTTCTTCAGATCTTTTTATTTTATAATTAGCGTGTGAATTTTCTTGGGGTGGGCAGTTAGTATAGGTATATATTCTGTAAGGATTGGGGTGCAAATAGTGCAAATTCACATGAAGTTTAATATAATGCAAGTAGAAGTTGTATAGACTCACAAAATAATGGAACTTTTTATTCTTCAGGCAAGCTGGAATGTTCTTGCATCAGCAGTGAATGTGCTGCTACCCATAATATTGATTTTAATTTTAAAAGAAATAATTAGACATCAAAATAAACTCATGAAATAATAGCACGGCCAATACCACAATTGATATGTACGCTAGATGGTCTCTCCTAAAATAATTTTGTGATATTAAGTGAGCTAAATCATGAGTTTCACATAATATAAAAGATCATTTTGCAAGGTGTTTTAGCTTGCAAAATGATCGTATACTATGGGACTGAGGGAATAATTTACAGGACATGATAAATCTAAAATAACATTTATCTTACAAATGTGAACATCTTTTATGTTGTAATAGTCAAACTTACATCTTTTTTACTGCATGGTTGGTAGTTGGACATCTGTTTACGGAAGGGAAGGTAGCATACTTGTGGCTGCACAAACAATTATATTGTTTACATCAAGCTAAAAGAATGACTGAATTTTTTTACTTGCTAGACTAAAAGATCGATGGAAAAAATATTTCTCAAGTTGAACTCTTATGAGTCTTATCAATTTTACCTCGACAAAGAGGCAGATCATTAATTTTGCAACCAACATTTCATTTGCATGGTATTTGGCAATCTGCACCGATGTGAATCCTATATCCCATCAATTGAGTTTTCCACGACAATCTATCTGTGACTATAAGTCCCGCGTTGCTATCTGAACTGTGTGCTACCACAAGTGAAATCCACCTCGAATTACCTATTTTTGGATCGCATTGATGCGCAATGGTTGTAGACTCTAGTCTTCTACTGACGAAATATCGAAACAATGTTAGTAACTCTGTTAATGTTAAATACGCATAAGCAAAATATCTATCAAAGCTTCAATGACGACATGCCTGCAACATTAATTCTTGAATTTGCATTACTAAGTACTCCCTCCATCCCAAAATAATTGTCACTAACTTTGTACTAAATCAACGACACTTGCTTTGGGACGGAGGGAGTATATACAGAACTGAAGTTTAACCAAGAACATTACATCATTGCATTTCTTTACAGAATTAGCCCACCGCTGTGATTACAATGCTAATTGTAGTAAATTTTAGATTCAACTATGTTATACTTCCCCCGTCCCAAAAAGCTTGTCTTAGATTTGTCTAAATACAAATGTATCTAGACATGTTTTAGTGTTAGATTCATCTGTATCTACATAAATCTAAGACATACTTTTTGGGATGGACGTAATAGAACTGAAGGTGCCTACACCAAATTTCTCCAAGGTTTCTGAAGACAGCAAAAATAAAAAATATTTGCCCTAAGATTTCTCCAAGAAATGCATACCAGGACCAAAATTAATATATTGATGTAGATGACTTTAATCTTCATGTAAGGTGGACCAACTGCCATACAGGAGGGTACAAGTACATGCTCATAAACTTGGTTGATGTTGCCGTGGCTCTAGCCTTATTTCTTGCCGCTGGTTTCTATGAACAAGAAACCAGCAAAACTAAAGCTTACTTTAATATAAAAAGTTTTAGCTGCAGCTAGAAAAGAGCCGCCAAGCTCTTGTACATTTAGTCGACGGACTTTAAAGAAAAATCATGGATAAATGAAGAAGTTAGATCTGGCCATATAGTGCAAGAAACAATTAGTGAGCGAGAGAAAAGCTTAGTGATGAGAAAGAATACGTTGGTATTGAAGACAAACACCATGGAAGCATTCACAAATCTACTCTTCCACCCTTTCGGCGGCCGCGCAAGCACAGACCATGAGAACTCCAAGAATCTTGACCCCATAGCTCATGTACAACTGGAGTAGCTGCTGCACTCGGAGTCTTTGCTGCGGTGCCACTGTTCGACGCGCTAGGAAGCAGGTATAAATGAAGGTCGTACATGACATAGAAGACGGCGAGCTACATCTTGCATGTACAAACGAGGGCGACCTAGGCTTGTGTTCGACAATGCAGTTCTTGGTTGGTGTGTCCGATAGCGACCAGGGCAGTGATGCGAGGCGGCGATGACTGAACGAGATAGTAACCCTAGCTGGTCGCGCTCGCTCTTCACGAGAGGAAGAATAAATCATATTGGGTCGAGCGAGTCGATGAGGCTGGGAAGAGAGCGGGCGGGTCCACTTGTCGGCGAGAATTTGGTTGAGAGAGGAGGAAGCGACACACGAACATGCGAATAGACATACCATGACCTACCATCACAACCGTACTCCCCTTTGATAGTAAAAGATAGTAAGCATAACAGTAGTTTCTTCCTTGAGAGGTTCATGAGCTCCATGAGCTCGTGAACAAGCGAAGAATCTCTATTGCTGGTTCTTTGAAGACGTTGGCTAATATCCTTTATTTTCATATATGGCGGGATGGTACTTCCAATTGGTACAATGATTGTTGGATTTGATGGAACCGTGAGTGGCCCTTTGACATATTTTAGTGTCGTTAAGATGTACTTAGGTCTATGCTTAACAATTCTGCCCTTTTTCTAGGGTCCGGACTTGATACTATGTTGATAAGCGAGGGTGCAAGGCTCAAGGGAAGCTGGTTCTCTAACTCTCTGTATGCTTATGGTATCTTGGATGAGGGGTATGTTCTTTTATACCTCTATACGTTGCTTTCTCACTGTTCATATTATCTTGAAGTTGCATCCCTTATGTTTGTGTTTTACATTTCAGTTACAAATTCAACGTGTTAGTTGAGGAAGCTACTGAGTTAGCATGGCGGGCTTTTATCACGCAACATTCCGTGATGGAGCCAGTGGTGGTTGTATTCATATTGGTATGCATTCTATTTCGCAGTATCTATCCTAATATTTGTTTTGTTCACTCAATAAGCATGATACAACATGCATGCATATTTGTTAAACACCTTATCATTGTATCTTTTGAAATCTCAAACACAATTGTTTATTGAGTTACATTTACTTCCGTAAGTTTTTGACAAAGTTCAGAGATTATTGTATTTTCCATCATGTAATGCACAAATAGAGATCACCGTCTAGACGATGGTGATAAATTAAACCACTCCCTTCTGTTTACAAATGTACAGGGTTGTAGAGTATAGACATGGGTCTAGACATCTAGTGAGACCTACCTAGGATTTCTAAAACAATATAATATAATGGTTACATGTAAATTACATGCCTAGATTTATTCCTTTTTTATACGACTTACATGTTAGTAGATTCTAAAAATATGGTGTGATGTATAAAAAATTATGGTCAATGCTATGTCTAGTGTTTGGGTCAAATTATTATCTGAAAGTCGGGTTAAAGTTTATTGAGAAAAGAAGATTATCATTTGGGTTTGATAGAGTATATGACTATATCCCACTTGGTCGTGTTATGTCTAGTGTTTGGAGAAGAATACACCAACCATTTTGGTAGTGAGCCTAACTCATCTCAACATGGCCCACTTTGGAGAAGAATACACCAACTATTTTGGTTGCGAGCCTAACTCATCTCAACCATTTTGGCCTCATTCCCCTAATATGCTAGACTATTTCTCTTATTCACTTCACGATTCGAGAGAGGGAATGCCAGCGGCCATGGCACCATTGTCCCCCCGGCCATTCATGCTACTTGAGAGGAGGAAGGCTCTTGCGACATTGTTCGAGAGGCATTAGCGCTAGCGAGTTTGCCACCATCTGAGCCGTGGCAGCAATGCCGTAGAGCATATAGTGGAGGGTAGAGCATATAGTGGAGGGTAGAGCTGGATGGTGGCGTGCTGACGTCGCAGGAGGAGGTGCACTCGTACGGGCACTACAGTCTGGTTCTTCCAAGCAATCAGAGAACCACTAGAAATGCACAGTAAGCAGAAAGTGAACAACGATCCAAGGGATCACTAGCCCACATAGCATCTCAATATGCCTGGGAGCTGTAATGAACAGGAACGGGGAAAGACTATACAATGAGGGATCGTGCCATGAATAATCAAAAAACATGAATAAGATAACTATAGTGAACCGAGGTGGGGGCAGAGACGAACTGACTCAAAATATGGACATGATAGGAGATATTCGGGCGAGTGATAGCTAGAAGACTCCCAACAAGATGACGCTAACGTGTTGCAGCTGACAAAGGGTCACCATCAATAGCACGGAGGTGAACGTTGAGCTACATGGGAGTCAACGGTGCGCTCATCAGTAAGAGCAACATGAGCAAGATCCTGGATTACTTCTCTTGACCAAGAAGAGACCTTACTCCTAAGAAAGTAGCAAAGTGGGCCAAGATCAGACATAAGAAAGTGCTCACTAAGACGTGCCTTCACAAAGGCAATATACTTTGCGTCTTTGCTAGTGGTGAACATGTCATCAACTTATAGAAGAAGAGTCCGGCCAAGAGCAGAAAGGTGGACAAACAACACAGGATCATGAGCACTCGTTGGTTGCAGTCGTCGTAGAGGCAAAACGCTCAAACCAGTCTCGTGGGCTTGCTTCAGGCCATGGAGAGCGACGAAGACGACAAAGCATGTCGTAAGGAACAAAATAGCGGTGGTGGCTGCATGTAAACCTCCCCACGTAGCTCACCATTAAGAAAGACATTCTTAACATCAAGTTGAGATACAGATAAGTGGCGAATGTGCGAACAGTGGTCATATGGTTCACATGTGCAAAAAGTCTTTTTGTAATCAATACCATGATCCTCCTGAAAGCCACGAGCGACAAGATGAGTTTTGTAACGCTCAACGGAACCATTGAGCCATCAAAGCGAGTCTTAACCTTGTAGACCCCTTACAAGTGACAGGACGAACACCAAGAGGAAGAGAAACAAGATCCCACGTGTCGCCGCGCTCAAGAGCAACAATCTCCTTTGCCATCGCAAATTGCCATTTTGGATAAGCAGCAACATCACGACAAGAAATCGGCGCAAGAACAACAGTGTGAGCGCTTGAAAAATCAGGGCGGTCAATTGGCAGAAACGGATGAGAAGGCAAGCCGTAAGTAGGCTGAGACGGGGGAGATGGCACATCAGTTGACACATGCACAACACGCGGTCAACGAGTATAAAAGTGAGGAAAAGATGGATGACCATGAGGAGGAATCATCGGGGTAAACTCAGGTGATGGAGACGGTGATGGTGTAGAATCCTGTGATAAGCAAGGTCAGGAAATCATAGAAGATGATGGCGTTGGATCTGTTATAATCGGAGAAGCGAAACAATCAATAGGAATGATAGGAGGGTCGAGAAAATTGTAGAAAGAGATATCCTTCACTTAAAAGGTCGAGGAAGATGAATGCGTGTAGAAGGGACGAGACTAGTCAAAAGTCGTATACCGAGAAATAGGCATTTGTCGATCGGCGTGATCTCAACAACGATCTCCCTTATGCTCATTGCAATATCCTAAGAAGACCCTTAAAAAACCGAGCAGTTAGTTTGGTGCGTTCATGGGGGGAAAGAAGAACATAGCAAACACAACCAAACAATTGAAACGCTAAATAATTAGAAAACAATCAAAGTGACGCTCCAAAGGAGCGACACCCTGTAGGGAAATGGATTGTTGAAGGTTGATGACATAGATGGAAGTGGAGACAGACTTGACTGAGAAGCGCGGCGAAAGATAGAGCAGTGACCATCAACTAACAAGCCGTCTCAAGAAGGCGACGATGCTTGCGCTCAACCACGCCATTCTGCTCAACCACGCCATTCTAAGCATTAGCACCAGGATAAGAGAACTGAGCAAGAGTACCTTGCTTAGCAAGGACTCAAAGCAACAAGTTGGAGATGTATTCTCCACCAGAGTCATCATAGAATACGAGACTAGGCTTAGAGAACTTAGTGTGAACCATGGCATCAAAACACTTATATAGATAAGACATCACTATGAGAAGAAATAAAGTATATCCAGGTGTGTTGAGAGAAGTCATCTATAAAGATCGTATACTAGCGATGACCTCCTTTCAAGGCAAAGGGAGATGGACCCCAGACATAAAAGAGAACAATGTCGAAAGGATGCTGAGACACTGTCTCGCTATGAGCATAAGGTAACTGGACCTCTTTACCAAGCTGACAACCCTAGTGGTTTTGAGACACCGTTGGAGACAGATCGAAGAAGACCACGTCAAACTAAGGATGAGAGATGAGAGCCACACAAGTGACTACTTGCGATGATGCCACCGCTGAAAACAGATGGTAGACAAGGCAACAGAGGTGGAGAGACTGGCGGCAGTGGCAGCAGAGTTACTTGGTGCAGCATCCCACGTGCCTGTGCACTCTCCGTTACCTGCCGATCTGGCTTGGTGTGCTTCTCCTGTTTGCGGGTTGTGTGGCACGCACTTGATTAAGCACCCCACGTTCTCCTACTGTGCGCCCTTGGCCCTGGCTTTAGGTAGCGCCTGTTCTCGGCCTGCCGTGCATAATCTAAGTACGCGTCGACTGTCCAAGCTCTTGCTCACCATTGGTGTTGCTCGAGCGTGCGGTTATGGTGTCGCCCAGCAAGGGAGCACGGGATGTGGGATTGAGACAGTTCACATAGCAACCCGCAAGAAGGCAAAGGATGCCCGTCCGGACTGGCAGGGAGCGAAGGTGGACATAAAGGTGGACGTTGAGTCTCAACAGTGCGCTCGTCAGTAAGAGCAGCACGAGCAAGAAGATCCTGGATATACCTCTCTTAGAAAACAAAGAAGCCATCAGAGGTAGAAGAAACCTCATTCTCAAGGAAGTAGCGAAGAGGACCAAGATCATGTTAGACCTTTCAGCCTGAGCATTGATAGATGTGGATGACACTAGGAGAGTTGGGACAATTTTCGTTGGTTTATTTCTCACACAATGCCATGCCAACCTGAGGGGTTGGGGATACATATTTATAGGCTGCTAGCCAGCCAAGGCATATGCTAAGATGCTGCTAAGATGCCAGTCTAAGATGCTAGTCTAAGATGCTAGTCTAAGATGCTAACTGACAGTCCTTGATGGTCAAGAATAGAACTCTATCCTAACAGCCAGTCCTTGATGGTCCAGGACTTTATCCTCCTCACTGCCACAAGGACCATGTGATGCAGCCCCACAAGGACCCTAGTACACAGACTTATCCATCATTCTCCCCCTAAGTCTTGTACGTCGTCTTGTGGGAGAGTTGAATCATCCCAATCCTGGAGCAAAGTTCGAGGAACTTGACCCTCCCAAGGGGCTTGGTGAGCAGGTCTGCGAGCTGATCCTTGGTGTTGATGTAGCTCGCCTCGATGCTCCCTTCTTCCACACAGCTGCGGATGAAGTGATACCTCAGTCGGATGTGCTTGCTCCGTTCGTGGAACACGGGGTTCTTTGCCAGGGCCAGGGCGGACTTGCTGTCCACCAGGAGCTGCACCGTTCTGGTGTCTTGAACGAGAAGATCACCAAGCAGTCGAGCAAGCCAGAGCGCCTGAGTACAGGCGGTGGAGGCCGCTATGTACTCAGCCTCACAGCTGCACAGGGCCACCACCTGCTGCTTGACTGATTGCCAGCTCACGAGACACTTGCCGAGGAAGAGGAGGATCCCGCTCGTGCTCTTGCTGGTGTCGATGTCGCCGGCGTGGTCGCTGTCGCTGTACCCGACGAAGTGTGCCGCCCCAGGGCACCTAGGGTAATGGAGGCCGTGGTCGAGGGTCCCTGCTATGTAGCGGACGATCCTCTTCACTGCCTGCTGGTGTTCCGACGTTGGTCGCTCCATGAACCGACTGACATAGCCGACGGAGAATGCCAAGTCCGGCCGTGTGTGAGTGAGGTAGCGAAGGCTCCCCACAAGGCGTCGGTACTGCGTAGCATCCACTTCCTCCGTCGTGCTGTCGCGACTTAGTTTCAGCCTCTCCTCCATCGGAGTGAGAGCTGGATGGCAGTCGGTGAGCCCAGCTAGCTCAACGATGCGCTTGGCGTAGGCGGACTGTCGAAGCGCGATCCCGGAGTGGTCCTGGTGCACCTCAATCCCTAGATAGAAGGAGAG